ACAGCAAACTACAATCAACAAAATTTTAAGGCAAGCGCTACAACCATGGAAATTAAAAAAACGAATCGTATTGAGCAAAACCATCAAAGATCCGATACCATTATCAGTAAATTCTATTTTATACTTTCAATTTACACAATATATTTACAGCAAACTACAATCAACAAAATTTAAAGGCAAGCGCTACAACCATGGAAATTAAAAAAAAGAATCGTATTGAGCAAAATCATCAAAGATCCGATACCATTATCAGTAAATTCTATTTTATACTTTAAATTTACACAATATATTTACAGCAAACTACAATCAACAAAATTTTAGGGCAAGCGCTACAACCATGGAAATTAAAAAAACGAATCGTATTGAGCAAAACCATCAAAGATCCGATACCATTATCAGTAAATTCTATTTTATACTTTCAATTTACACAATATATTTACAGCAAACTACAATCAACAAAATTTAAAGGCAAGCGCTACAACCATGGAAATTAAAAAAAAGAATCGTACTGAGCAAAACCATCAAAGATACGATACCATTATCAGTAAATTCTATTTTATACTTTCAATTTACACAATATATTTACAGCAAACTACAATCAACAAAATTTTAGGGCAAGCGCTACAACCATGGAAATTAAAAAAAAGAATCGTATTGAGCAAAACCATCAAAGATCCGATACCATTATCAGTAAATTCTATTTTATACTTTCAATTTACACAATATATTTACAGCAAACTACAATCAACAAAATTTTAGGGCAAGCGCTACAACCATAGAAATCAAAAAAACGAATCATATTGAGCAAAACCATCAAAGATCCGATACCATTATCAGTAAATTCTATTTTATACTTTCAATTTACACAATATATTTACAGCAAACTACAATCAACAAAATTTTAAGGCAAGCGCTACAACCATGGAAATTAAAAAAAAGAATCGTATTGAGCAAAACCATCAAAGATACGATACCATTATCAGTAAATTCTATTTTATGCTTTCAATTTACACAATATATTTACAGCAAACTACAATCAACAAAATTTTAAGGCAAGCGCTACAACCATGGAAATTAAAAAATCGAATCGTATTGAGCAAAACCATCAAAGATCCGATACCATTATCAGTAAATTCAATTTTATACTTTCAATTTACACAATATATTTACAGCAAACTACAATCAACAAAATTTTAAGGCAAGCGCTACAACCATGGAAATTAAAAAAAAGAATCGTACTGAGCAAAACCATCAAAGATACGATACCATTATCAGTAAATTCTATTTTATACTTTCAATTTACACAATATATTTACAGCAAACTACAATCAACAAAATTTTAGGGCAAGCGCTACAACCATGGAAATTAAAAAAAAGAATCGTATTGAGCAAAACCATCAAAGATACGATACCATTATCAGTAAATTCTATTTTATACTTTCAATTTACACAATATATTTACAGCAAACTACAATCAACAAAATTTTAGGGCAAGCGCTACAACCATAGAAATCAAAAAAACGAATCATATTGAGCAAAACCATCAAAGATCCGATACCATTATCAGTAAATTCTATTTTATACTTTCAATTTACACAATATATTTACAGCAAACTACAATCAACAAAATTTTAAGGCAAGCGCTACAACCATGGAAATTAAAAAAAGAATCGTATTGAGCAAAACCATCAAAGATACGATACCATTATCAGTAAATTCTATTTTATGCTTTCAATTTACACAATATATTTACAGCAAACTACAATCAACAAAATTTTAAGGCAAGCGCTACAACCATGGAAATTAAAAATCGAATCGTATTGAGCAAAACCATCAAAGATCCGATACCATTATCAGTAAATTCAATTTTATACTTTCAATTTACACAATATATTTACAGCAAACTACAATCAACAAAATTTTAAGGCAAGCGCTACAACCATGGAAATTAAAAAAAAGAATCGTATTGAGCAAAATCATCAAAGATCCGATACCATTATCAGTAAATTCTATTTTATACTTTCAATTTACACAATATATTTACAGCAAACTACAATCAACAAAATTTTAAGGCAAGCGCTACAACCATGGAAATTAAAAAAAAGAATCGTATTGAGCGAAACCATCAAAGATACGATACCATTATCAGTAAATTCTATTTTATGCTTTCAATTTATACAATATATTTACAGCAAACTACAATCAACAAAATTTTAAGGCAAGCGCTACAACCATGGAAATTAAAAAAACGAATCGTATTGAGCAAAACCATCAAAGATCCGATACCATTATCAGTAAATTCAATTTTATACTTTCAATTTACACAATATATTTACAGCAAACTACAATCAACAAAATTTTAAGGCAAGCGCTACAACCATGGAAATTAAAAAAAAGAATCGTATTGAGCAAAATCATCAAAGATCCGATACCATTATCAGTAAATTCTATTTTATACTTTAAATTTACACAATATATTTACAGCAAACTACAATCAACAAAATTTTAGGGCAAGCGCTACAACCATGGAAATTAAAAAAACGAATCGTATTGAGCAAAACCATCAAAGATCCGATACCATTATCAGTAAATTCTATTTTATACTTTCAATTTACACAATATATTTACAGCAAACTACAATCAACAAAATTTAAAGGCAAGCGCTACAACCATGGAAATTAAAAAAAAAGAATCGTATTGAGCAAAACCATCAAAGATACGATACCATTATCAGTAAATTCTATTTTATACTTTCAATTTACACAATATATTTACAGCAAACTACAATCAACAAAATTTTAGGGCAAGCGCTACAACCATATAAATCAAAAAAACGAATCATATTGAGCAAAACCATCAAAGATCCGATACCATTATCAGTAAATTCTATTTTATACTTTCAATTTACACAATATATTTACAGCAAATTACAATCAACACAATTTTAAGGCAAGCGCTACAACCATGGAAATTAAAAAAACGAATCGTATTGAGCAAAACCATCAAAGATCCGATACCATTATCAGTAAATTCTATTTTATACTTTCAATTTACACAATATATTTACAGCAAACTACAATCAACAAAATTTTAAGGCAAGCGCTACAACCATGGAAATTAAAAAAACGAATCGTATTGAGCAAAACCATCAAAGATCCGATACCATTATCAGTAAATTCTATTTTATACTTTCAATTTACACAATATATTTACAGCAAACTACAATCAACAAAATTTTAAGGCAAGCGCTACAACCATGGAAATTTAAAAAAAAGAATCGTATTGAGCAAAACCATCAATGATACGATACCATTATCAGTAAATTCTATTTTATACTTTCAATTTACACAATATATTTACAGCAAACTACAATCAACAAAATTTTAGGGCAAGCGCTACAACCATGGAAATTAAAAAAACGAATCGTATTGAGCAAAACCATCAAAGATCCGATACCATTATCAGTAAATTCTATTTTATACTTTCAATTTACACAATATATTTACAGCAAACTACAATCAACAAAATTTTAGGGCAAGCGCTTCAACCATGGAAATTAAAAAAAAGAATCGTATTGAGCAAAACCATCAAAGATCCGATACCATTATCAGTAAATTCTATTTTATACTTTTAATTTACACAATATATTTACAGCAAACTACAATCAACAAAATTTTAGGGCAAGCGCTACAACCATGGAAATTAAAAAAAAGAATCGTATTGAGCAAAAACCATCAAAGATCCGATACCATTATCAGTAAATTCTATTTTATACTTTCAATTTACACAATATATTTACAGCAAACTACAATCAACAAAATTTTAGGGCAAGCGCTTCAACCATGGAAATTAAAAAAAAGAATCGTATTGAGCAAAACCATCAAAGATCCGATACCATTATCAGTAAATTCTATTTTATACTTTTAATTTACACAATATATTTACAGCAAACTACAATCAACAAAATTTTAGGGCAAGCGCTTCAACCATGGAAATTAAAAAAAAGAATCGTATTGAGCAAAACCATCAAAGATCCGATACCATTATCAGTAAATTCTATTTTATACTTTCAATTTACACAATATATTTACAGCAAACTACAATCAACAAAATTTTAGGGCAAGCGCTACAACCATGGAAATTAAAAAAAAGAATCGTATTGAGCAAAACCATTAAAGATCCGATATCATTATCAGTAAATTCTATTTTATACTTTCAATTTACACAATATATTTACAGCAAACTACAATCAACGAAATTTTAGGGCAAGCGCTACAACCATGGAAATTAAAAAAAAACGAACCACATCGAGCAAAACCATCGATATTCCAGACGAATGCTTAAAAATCTAACATACCTCTCATTTTGAAATATCTTTAATCTCATTTTTAGTAAAATTTTTGATATTATAAAATTTACTATATTATATTTTTTATCTGGTTACAAATGCATATGTGTTGGAACCCAATAATCGTGAAGTCTTGACGTATATACAATTATTATTATATATTTTTTTATAATTCATATCTTTGTCTCTTTTTTTCTATTTCTTCCTTCTTTTTTTCATTCTTTTTTTCATTTCTTTGCTCTCCTATCCATCTCCTACCTTCACGCGGTGGGGAGTGAACAGAAATGCTGACTAACAGGAGCTCTGGTGGATAATACTGGTATTTGTGGAGTCAAGTTTACATGTAATAAATCTTAATTATTGGATGAAATTTTCTTTTAACTTTACCTGGCACCCATAATCCTTTCAAATGAGATAACTCTAATTCCCCGTCATTCTTGACGGGTTATTAGCCAGTATTAATATAAAACCCGTTCGAAGCCGAACAAAAGCGGGCTATAAAAATTTTTTAGTCGAGCCCCCTGAGATTGTAAAAGCTAGCGACGCCCCTGACTAATGTACTAATTAAAAAATATTGCTGAATCCTGATAAAAAAAAATTATCAGGCAATATAATTTTAATATAAGTATATCATTAATTTAATATATTTTACCTTAAATTTCAGGCAACTTTCAACATGTTCATCATACACGTAAACAGGGACAATCAGGTATTTATTTTTATTCATTATTTGCTTAAACCTGCCATCAAATTGCATATTTTTAATCTCTACATCACTCAAATGGCATTTTTTTATCCTGTCTTTTCTTGTAACATTTTTTTAAATAATAAATGGGATTTAATATGATAATATAGGGTTAGAGAATATCAATAGTTATTAATTATTTAATTCTAAGCTCCATTTGTCTCGTGTTCTTTGGTGAATTTTTCAAGATGGAGGCAGATCTAAGGGTAATAAGCAGGGACGTGGAACGGAACGTTCCGGGAACGAACTTTGAGTAAATTTATGAAACGGAATGTGTTTTCCGGAACCTTCCTAGAATTATGTTTCTTATTTATTTTTGTAATTAAAAAATAATTCTTTTAATCCATCCAACAGGTGCATATATTAAGTTTTTTTAATTTTCTAAATCCTTACAAATGGTCACCCTTTCCTTTTCTCCGATATGAATGGAAAACTGTAGAAAAATGGTGGCCTCATTAGAGCCGTTAAAGGAAGCAAGCTTAATGTTCCAAAGAGAGCATACTTCCAGGTGACTCTATAGGTCAATGGACCAAATGTAAAATAAGGCTTCAAAAAATTAATTGTTATCACAAACTTAACTTCCGATCTCAACAAAATGGAATAAATGCTAATGAATTAATTACCTTTTTCTGCCATATATCTAGATGTTATTTAAACCTTTTTTTGAACGAATAGAAAAATAATATCGTTATAAATCATTTATTGGAGAAATTGGAACATATTAAAAATTTTAAGGATAAAGATTTAAATATAATGTGATTCGAATAAATCTTCTGAAGGACAGGAAAATGATAAATTATAAATGTTTCTAGGATCCAAGGATAAAAATGAAAAACATAGCAAAACTTACAGAGAGGATGATATTTTAACAACTATAAAATTCAAATGGATCTTCTAAATAAATCAAAAAATTTGCTAGAATAACTAGCAATCCAATAAAATAAAAAATCCTATTATGATTTGGTCCAAATCGTATTAGCAACTACATGTAGCCAGGTAAGTGTTGAATTTTAGAATAACACTATATAGAACTGATAGAATGATAATCTTTTAGAAAAATTATTATTGCTTCGATGTAATGATTGATTCATTTAATGATTAGGTAACTCACTGAAACTTGGGGAAATTTTTAATATTAATTTATTTTTTTAAATAATTAAAAAAAAGATTTTTATTAAAAAAATAAGAAATAATATATGATCGTTGAATAATGGTGGAAATTTTTTGATGTAAATATTTCAAAGTTTCATTAATTAAAAGTTTTAAGAATTGCTACTTTTTTCGTTGAATTGACGTAATTTTAGATTTTGATGCAATAAGAATTTTTTTTAAATATTTTTTTATTCCACAGAACTGAAAGATAATCTTCCACTCATTTATATATATATGTGAATATTCTTATTTTCGTAATATTAAAAATATGTCAAATTTAAGTAAATTAATAATAAATGATATAAATTTATATAAAAATATTTATGTACTTAAAATTATATATATCTATTACAAGTTTGGTTTATTCAAATAAATTGCTTAATAATCTAGTATTTGATTTAATAGTCCTAACTTAGTAGCAACCAGCACACAACTATTATATTTTTAATGCAAAATTAAAGAATTGTGTAAATTTTCAGTAGAAAAAAATATGGAATTCTTAAAATTTTTGAGTAATGAAACTTTGAATTATTATTATTACATCAAAAAATTAACCCATATTATCCCGATCGCATATTTATTATTTTAAATAAAAAAAATATTGAAAAAAAAAATATTAGTAATTTCCCCGAGTTTCAGTGAGTTACCAATTAAATAAAGATAAATTACAATGTGTAGTTATAAAAAATATATTTAGATATTTTATTTTCCTGGGAACGTTCTGAAAGATGGAATAATTTTTTTGACCAGAACTGGAATATAAAAATGCCCTTGTTCTGGGTCCTTAGTAACAAATTTTATAGGTATAAGCAATATTTTAATCAGGAAATAAGATTATAAGTTGGTATGAGAACATGGAATATGAAAATTTTGATGATTTTAAGGTTAGAGATTGCCGAGAGCTGATGAGGCTTGGCCCCACCATTAAGTACTAGTGAGATATTACATTGACCTAGTATATTAGGATCAGGAAAAGTGGTAAAAAAATTATGCTGCATGTATTGAGTTTGAACACATTTGCCCCTTTTCTGCTTGCATTATGTTGCAAGCATTGGAATAGCCTGAATTTATTTAATGATGTGCCAAGTTAAAAATAGGAGGAAATACAGATTATTTTCATAATATGATCATAAAAAAATAATCAGAGCAAAGAGTTATTTTCCTAGCAATTAATAATGTAGTTGGTGTTGAGATAAAGTTGACTGTAAAGGGTTTCTAGTCATTCAATTTTGAATGAATATGTCCAAGTTTATTGAGATGTTTTGAGATTAAATTGGAGTCAGCACTCCAATTACAACTCACATAGATGAGAGCAAGGAAAAGAGTAATTTGAGGTATGAATTTATGAAAAATCAATTGTGAACTCAAATTATGCTTGAGTGATGTGACAAGTCATAAACTCACATGTTTATAATCATCATAGATGCATTAATACAACCTGATTTCAATTTGGAGTAGAGAAATTTATACTTAAGTCGTGAAAAGCTAAGAATTAAATAATTAACTCATAAAAACCTGGGTCACAAAAATTATGAATGTGAACTCAAATTATTTTAATGTACAATAAAAATAAAGATTTTAAAAATGTTTAGGTTGCTTATGGGTAGTCTCCTATAGAGTCCGTATAAATATCCAAGCTATAGCTATAGAGGTCAAAATTTTAGGTTCAGCCATATTCATCTTATATTATTTAATATTTAAAAAAGGGATATTTCTAGAATAAACTATATTTAGTGATCTAATACCCAATATCCATATCAAACAATTACATCATTTTATAAAGAAATATTTATCTAGAAACAAGAATATAATAAATTTGTGTCTATTAAAACATAGATTAAGTGAATTTATACTTATCATTTTAAATTTACTAAAAAAAATTTATTGATGAGACTTGAAAGTAATATGTAAGAGCATTCTACTTTATTGAGATTATTTTTAGACTTGTTTGATTAATTTTAATCAACAATAAATTTGTAATTTTATGTTTGGCACTAATTCTATAATAATGAAAATGAAGGAAAACAAATGAGGAAACTTTATTATAATATTTAATTCATATTTTATTTTAAAATTTCATTTAAATATTTTTTCTATTCAGAAAGAAAATTATAAATAAATATTTATTACCCTATGCTTAATATATTATTACTTTTCTAACTAATCTCTTTTCAGGATTTAGTCCATATTAAGCCTAGCAATGCTAAATATTTGTGTGATAAAATATGGGAAATTTAAAATCTTTTGCCATAATTTTAGATAGATCACAAATAACTTAATAAAAGTAACTTAAGCCATATTGTGAAAATTTTTTAACAAAATATGCTGCCCTTAAAAAAAAAGAAATTTCCCTTTAAATATGAGTGTAGTGATGTCATGCTTAAATAATTTAAGGTTATTAGTATTAAAAATATTGTTTCATTTTTTTTTACAATGTTGAATGAGTTCCATCCCATATAAATAATATCAAGCCTCCTTTGTATAATGAGCACCTTCCTACAATTTGACAATTTATATCCAAATATTGGTTAATATTCTTGTCCAGTTGATCCAAACAAACTGGCTTGTTAAAGGGAACTTTTGATTTAATATTAACTGTCATTAAAAATTTTTGCAAGATATAAACCTTAATCTTTTTTAATTTAGGAAAGATATAAATATATACTCTCTCTTTGTCATAAATGGTGAAGGTAAAATTTTGTGGATAATGGGATAATGGATATATTTCATTTTTTTCTTGATATTGACCACAAAAAATCAAATAAGAAAATCCAACAAAACCAACTGCAATTAATTTATTTTTATTTTCTTCAAACTAATATGTATTTATTTTAAAACCAGATAATAAAATTAACTTTAACTCGATGTAGTCTTATAATATTTCCAGGTTTTAAAAAGTTTTCAGCATTTGAAATTTCACAGAATAAATTACAGGTTATTGTTTGTCCAGGTTGTAATGATTCATCAAATATTTTAATTGAGGTATAAATTTTGTTATCAGAGGTATAAGATTGTTCTTTGGCAGAGTTTATAATCCCATATACATTTGATTTTTGATTTAAGGTTATATCTGATAACAATGTGTATTTTATCATTTTTAGTGTCTTATGATATGATTTATTAATATAAAGAATGTGAACAAAAGAAAAGAAGCATCACATCATAATCATACTATTAACACTTATGTAACAAACCAATTGCACTATTTTATATTATGTAACATTACGATATTCAAGTATGTAATTAATTTATACTTATATTATTATAATGAATTATATACATATAGTTGGTATTATAAATAAAATAAATTTTATTTTATGTTGACTCCCATACTATCATTTAAGAATGGGATTAGATTTAACAAAATATTATCTATATAGATATAAGTTTATAGTTGAAAACATTTAAATTTAATTTAACATGATTATTTCAAATATTTAGTTTGAAATTATTTTTGCATTTTGTAAAAAAAGGTTTTATTCGTCAATACTTGCGGTATATTTAAATTTTTATTCTTCAATTTTATTAAAATTTAATTATAATTTTTATTTGTAAGTACCTAAATTAAATGAATGATAATCTTAAAAAAGCAGTTCATAAAAATTTATATACATGTCATGATGATAATAATATACCACAATTGGTAAGAAAATCATATATGATCGAAAATGATCAAAGCAAACAAATTTTTAAAAAACCAATTCCAAGAATTTGCAATAATAAGGAATTATTTCAAAATAACAATGGTAAAGAAAATACGATTATTAGTCGGTCCAGAAGTATTGAAATGACTGGAGTGATTAGGGAAGATACAAAATCTTATATAAAACATGAAATTGCCAGAAATAATTATAAGTCAATTTATGGAGTACATAATTTTACAAAAATATCAGCAATGAGTAAAGATCCTGAAAACCATAATGGTTTAAAACCAAAAATTTATAATAAAGGTTTGACTGGATCCTTAGCAAAAAGTAACATTCACTCCCATTTTGATCATGAAAAAGATATTTATGTGAAAACAAATCCAAAAGAAGTTATTAATAAAGTTAATATATTAAAGATAGAACCCAAAAATGAGTTGAAGGATCTACAACTAGACAAAAATAATTTAGTAAAAGAACCTCTAAAAACTTTGGAAGAAAATAAAAACATTTCATTATCTGATCAGCCTGGCCACCATAGTAAACTTCTCAATACTATATATGTAAATCAAAATATTCAAGCAAAAGTTGAGGCTTATAAGAAATATATTTTATGTAACCCTTTAAATCTTATGCAACAAAAAACTAATTTCGATGTTGCTCTTACAAATATCACAAATACAAAACAAATAGTCAAAAAAAAGTTAGATGATAAAACTGAAGACATCAAAATCAAAGAGAGCATAAATTACAATAATCCTCCACACACCAATTCATCATCAAGCAGGTTTTTTTATGGGGTTGTATTTTAAATTCATTTATACCAGAGAACACAGGTATCAATTGCATGGCCTGACCAAGGTTTATAAAAAAAAATTTGGCAAGACTTAGACTAATTAATATTTTATTTTTCTCATAACCATCTTTGAATTCCATAAAAAAAAAATTCATTCAAAAAAAGCAGTTGACCAACTTTCATGAATTATTTAGTATATTTTCTTTTTTTATTCTCCAAAAGTTATACATCTAAATTAAAATATGCCAATTTTCATTGCTAAATGTAGATAGTTAAATGCTCAATTTAGCCAATTTTTAAAATGGCTAAGTCAAGATTTTAGCCAAAATATTATCTGTGGGTGAAATAGTGGTTGTTAAAGACATATGGGAATTCTGTGTTTGAGTTAATATTTGAAATAAGCAGTTAAGTTGGATGTAATGTTGTGTTATTTCAGCTTTGATTTTATTTATAGTGACGTACTGTTTAGTTGTTAAAATATTTTTTGTTTAGTTAATTAATATTTTGTATAGTGTTATGTTAATTAATGTAAATATATATAGTAAAGTGAATTTTTCAATTATTTTAATTAATTATTTTTGCATGTTTTAATGATGAGTTTTAGATTAACTAAATATGTTTAAGTAAAGTATAATATACTGGGGGTGGTGATATTGTTGTTATGGAATGGAAGTTTCTATATTGGCAGGAAAGAGTACCAAAATAGGAGTGGACATAGTGGTCATATTATGATGTTTTGTCCCAATTAAGCTGACAGAGTGAGATGCACTGGATGTGATAGATTTGGGAATATTAAGGAAAATTATAATATGGGAAATGTGAATATTAGAGAAGGGTTCCCACATAGGGGAGAAGTATCAGGTGCCATTAATATGAGAATGAAAATGAAGGCAGTGGTGAGGAAATGTGTAAGGTAGGTGAAATTGTATGTTAAATGCCAGAAAGAAGGGCATGGGATTGTGAAATGAAGTAACTCTATGATGGCAATAGAATGCAGGCTGGGAGTTTGGAACAAAAGGAGGTGAGCATGAAGGTAGGAAGATGGAAATGTGGGGTGCGGATGTTGCATAGAGATGGATATATATATAATATATATCTGACAATCTTTGCATATAACTTGATTGTGAATAAAATTTTCTGGGCATCCCAAATCAGACAACAATTAGGTGGGATTATATATTAAAATGGTGTACAACAGGGTTAGCAGTAACACGAATATTTGAATTTAAAATACAAATATTTTTTTTGTATTTATATTTATTTGAATATTTTAAAAATTATTTATATTTTTAATACTAAATATTTAATTATTTATAACGCATTTTTAAATTTTTGCATAAAAATAGTTTAAACATATTTAACGTATCACTTTCAGCGACTTTTATAAATGGCTAATTTCAGATTTTTGCCAAGGTATTGAGCATCTATTGGCGAATTTATAATTTAGCCGTTTAAAAAAATCGACTAGATCGGGCTATTTAACAACATTACATTCGTCATACACTTTGTGCCTATATTTTGAGATGATAAACATTGATAATAAAAGACAAAATATTGGCGAAATTTTTTACCCGTTTAAAAAAAATCGACTAGATCAGGACATTTAACAACATTACATTCATTATAAACTTTATTCTCATATTTTAAATGAGATGATTAACATTTTGATAATAAAAAACAAAATACATTTAATCATTAAAATTTAGTTTGTTTTTTTTGAATAGAAAAGCTAATTATAATAAATTCTGTTGTACTGAGCCAATAACTTTATAACATGTTGATGATGAATAAATCGATCTAGTGTTGTTAACGGCTCGTTTTGAGCCGATTTTTAAAACGGCTAACTATATTTTATCCAGAAAAATATTACACAAGCCTAAGATTTTACTCATAGCTCAATGATTTAAACATCCATTAGGGTAGAAATCGGCTCAAAACTAGCTGTTTAACAACACTAAAAGAGCCTATATTTTAATAGTATTTTGTAATATAATTATATAGGAAAAAATGGTGTGTGAATGATTTCGAAGTTGGAAGACCTCTAGGTAGAGGAAAATTCGGAAATGTTTATTTGGCTCGAGAAAAACAAACCAAATTTATCGTTGCTCTCAAAGTTTTATAACTAATTTTTTATTTATAATTGCTTTGTTTTTTTACAAAAATAATTTACAGGTACTATTTAAAAATTCTTTGGCGGAAGCTAACATAGAGCATCAGGTCAGGCGTGAAATCGAAATTCAATCTCATTTAAGGTTTTGCATATTATTTAAAAATTTGAACATATTTTTTTTACGCAGGCACCCAAATATACTAAAACTTTATGGCTATTTTTATGATTCGTCTAAAGTCTATTTAATCTTGGAACATGCTCCACAGGGTGAGTTGTACAAGAAATTAAAAGAATGTAAACGGTTTGAAAAAACTATTTCCGCAAATGTAAGTCACTTTGATTGGTGCGGGGGGGGGGGGTTATTATCTTTGAAATAATCTCACTTTTTTTTAAATAGAGGAAAAAATAATATTATATTGTGTGCTTATAAAATATCATTACATTGCTAAATAAACATTTTTTCTTCAATTAATATCAATGATCAATTTTTTATTAACCCCATTATATTGATATATTGGGTAAATATAATATGAACCAAACTTACTCACCTATACAAGGCATTACGGAATATCCAATAGAAATAAGGAAGTGAAATTAAGCCAATAGAGCTAGGGGAATTTTTTTGCTTAAAATATTTTCAATACTTGTTTATTTATACTTTAAGTACGTGTATCAAATAGCGGACGCTTTAAAGTACTGTCACGCGAAAAATGTAATCCATCGGGATATTAAACCCGAAAATTTACTCCTTGGTATGAATGGCGATATCAAATTAGCCGATTTTGGATGGTCTGTCCATGCCCCAGATTCAAAGTTTATAATTAACCTATTAACTAATTTCTTCTTTATATGATACAATAGTATTTATATATTCCATTATTTTGGGGGCAAAAAACATTGTCGTTCGAGTTCGCCAGTTCTAAATAAGTTATATAATTATTAACACGTTAAATACATTTAAATTAAAATGATTGTTAATTATTCATTAACAAAGACTAATGAGTAATTATATATAGTTAGCCTCTTACCATACCTAACTTTTTTTTGTACATAATGATTCATTCACACGAACAGCAAATAACTTATTGACATTAAAACATGTTTGTTTATCTTTTAACGCAGGCTTTATATTTTAACATCGATCGATTAGATGTTTTACAATGACCTCATCTATTGGATACATATATTTTACTTTACCATACATTTAATTCCTAAATAAAATTATTTAAATATTTGAATCGCTTGCTCAGTCAGTACTGATAGAAATATGGAATTTTAAAATATTAAATAGAAATAGTGGAGCCCAAGCCATGACATTGCTCAATTTATTTATATTAGTTAGAGACCTGCATTTTAATTTTTTTAAATATACCTGGGCCAGGCCTTAAAATTTTTTTTAAAAAAAAATATCCCTGCATGACCTAAATTTTTTTTGAAGTTACCCGGGCTGTATATTTAAAACCCGAATAATTTTAATCACCATTAATAGCTACAAAAATTAAGAATAAAAATATTTGAAAAAACAGGGCTGGGCCATGCAAATGGTACCTCTACAGGTTTCTGATTTAGCCCAAGCGATTTTATGCAGGGATCCATATCTGAACCGTGAAATCAGCATTAACTCTTATAATTTCAGAATCTAGAATTAGTAAAAGTGTTGGTGACCCGAATCAAACCTCTAAAATATTTGGAAACCGATTTGAATCTTTTGATTAGAAAGTTCTATTAAAGATTATTATCAATCAATTCCGATAATTTTCATATAGTCTTTTTAGAGATGTTTATACATTTATGGAAGTATTCCCAACCTTCGAATTTATTATTTCCCCTTATTGATATGATTTGATAGAGGGAATCTAATAAAATAAACCTGTTTTTGTTGATTTTAGTGATAAACAAAAAAATGTGCCTTCCTTCCTACATATTCGAGATCTGCAAAAAATTTTGGACAAGTTGTTCAACCGAATTTTGCCCGGCCCGATCCGTTATAAAATTTTAATTTCCCCAGCCCCTTAAAATTTTGAAAAATCCGTCCCATCCTTTTAAATTTTTTGTACGAATTTTCCGGCCCGTTATTAAAATACAAAGAAAATAGGCTATTGTAATTTATTTTTAGAAAGTCTTAATCAAAACATAAACCTGGAATTCAAAAAAATATCACTAAATGTCCTGGCTGACCTATTAAAATTTTACAAAAACTCGAGATTTTGGTGGCCCTGCCTGATTTTTTTATGTATAAATTGTTTAGCCCAGCCAAATAAATTATGTGTATGAATTGTCCGGCCCATTTTAATTTCTTAAAAGATTTGCCACATCCGCCGGCTGCTTTGCAGATTTCTACTGTACATAATTCCAATGAGTTTTTAATTTGTATGTAAAAGAGTTTAATCCAATTTTTAAAGTTCGAACCTAAGTTATATTATTATTTTGTGCTAGCCGAATCTTAATCCTAAGCCGATTTTTATCTGAACTTACCTGATTTTAATAATGGAGTAGATTAATTATTTTTTATATTTTACTACTCATCAAAATATTTTAAAATTGGTATCAAATTCATTTTCATTGGTTCTTAAAAGCGTTAAAAAAGGAAATCCTTAAGAAAAACAGGAAATTTTTTGGACCATATGTTGTTTATTATATATATAGGTAATTTTTTATTTGAATACATTACATAGGAGAGCCACATTATGTGGGACCATCGATTATCTTTCGCCAGAAATGATATTAAGTTTACCCCACGATTCCGCCGTGGATCTATGGTGCCTAGGGGTATTGTGCTATGAATTTTTAGCCGGTATATATTCCAACTTGAAATAAATGTATTTTACATGTTATCTTGTTTTACATATCGCCTTAATAAGTAAAATTGTATTTTTCCATTGCTCTTTGTTAATATTTTAGAACTATTATATCTTATTTATAAAATCCCTAAGGGCTGAGTAACAAAGCAAAACATTTTGTATTTCAAAACCACTGCGCATTTTGTTTTTGATTTTTTCTAATGGGCAAAAACTAGGGTTGACATATCAATAATTTATTGAATAAAAATTATAATTTAAATCAATTTTCTTTTTTATTTGTATTTTAAATCATTATTAGATATACCAATTTAAAACATTTTATTATACTTCACTTTAACATACAAGCCCCTGTGAAGGGGGTGGCAGAGACCTGGAGCAGCCAAATTTTGGTTCTTATACAGTTATTTTAATTTCCCTAGTTTACATTTAAATTTATTTTTTTTGTTTATTTGGATTTCTATTTTTCTTATTGTCAATTTTTTTTATCAATTTAGATTTGCTTTTCTTAGAGCTTTAATAGATTGAGGTTTTTAGGACCACTGAATTTATTTTTATTCCGGGCCGCCAAAATATCTTAGCATAGATTATACTATATTTTAAATATAAGTTTAGTGGAAATATCAAGAATCTCTAAATTATTTCAATCTATTTTTATTATTGATATATTCAATATTTTGATGTTAAAAAGATTTGCATTTGCAGTTTTTATATAAATTTTAATTTTTGATTCTAATTTACATTAAATTAAAATTCAATCACAAATGATTACATTAAATAATATGTGAGCAAAGAGTGATAATTATATAACATAAAGTACCTTTTAATCAAATCAAAATCTCTTAAAATTTTACAGGAAAATAGATGTCTATTTTTCTCCAGGGTATACATTAAGAAGTTATTTTATTTAGCTCGAATGTTGGCAAATTATAATTAACCGCAAATGAATTAATTATTATTATGATATATAATAGATAATTGATTACTTATAAATACAAAATTCATAAATATAAAAATAAAATTTTTTGGGTTCTGGTAATAGTTTTAATTTTGCCCGGTATATTTTGTAAAAAATTTAAAGTTCTCTTGACAATTGTTTAAGGGAAGAGATAACGATTTGTAAAACAATATAATTTGTTAATTTAAACTATTTGTTTTTCTCAGCTATATCAACTATATTAGAATTTATATTTTTTTGGAAAGGAAGAGACTTATGTGAAGTCCCAGATTAAGGACTTACTTAAGCACCAAGGTGCTGAAGTCAAACCATCTACAGCCATCATCTTTTTGTTAAATTATCAGGCTCTATGATATTCGATATTCGGGCTCTCATAAGAGTATGGCTAATTAAATTAATTGCTGCATGCTTTGCACCTTCACATTGACTATAGATATAATTAGGATCATGTCTCCTGGTTGAAAGATGTTACATCGAATTTTGTGGCCTTGAAACTCTTAATTGTGCATCTGTGATTTAATAATGTTTCCAACCATTTATGCATGTGTTTAGTTGAACGATTTTATATCCAATTCTGGGGCCTATGACAATTATTAACTGTTCATCTGATAAGAAGTTTCCAAGTTGATAATGCTTCCACCATTCATAACCAATAGTAGAATCAACATTTTGAAATTGTATATATTCCAAAGGAGGATTCGATTAGATTTTAATTAAAGGTTCAAATAACGGTTCAGTATGTAAAAAATTATATTGGTTACGGTTCTTTAGAAAAAATTTACAAAGGTTCGGTTCGGTTCAGCTAATTATAAAGGTTCATTACGGTTAGAAATTTTTTTTTATTGAAGCAACACCATCGTCTAATTTATTTTTATTATAAGCATATATGAATTATATATAAAAAAATTATAATATATTATCTAATATAAATGGATTCATATTTGTTTGTTGTGACGATAACACAAATTTTAGCCCCGAAAAGGCCCTTTCTACAGAAACTTGTGTTGCGGGAATCGCCAGTACTATAAGAGCAACTTTATATAATTCAGGATATTCAAAATTTTTTGATTTTTAAAATATAAAAACTGAACCGGTTTAACCTTTTTTATAAAGGTTATTTTTACTCCTTCAAAAAATTATTATATCGGTTCGGTTACGGTTCTGATATTTAAAACGGTTTATAAGGGTTTAACGGTTCACTCCGGGTTCCTGTTTTTAACTAAACTAACTTTTGATTGTAGGGTTATACCCTTATGTTGTTTAAAAAAATTTTATATACTTTAAATTTGGTATTTTTTAAATATAAACAATAATAATCTATCACTTTGATAAAATAAATAATTATGATAGGAAATCCTCCTTTTTATTCCACTAAAGTCAATGATACGTATGCCAAAATAACGAGAGTTCTCTACACCTTTCCTTGTGATGGATTTGACGATGGCTCAAGAGATTTGATTAAATCAGTTAAAAAATTATTATAAAGTTTATTGGTTGCTAATATAATATTCGTATTTTTATAATAAAACAGCAGCATTTCACCTAATATAAATGTTTTTTTTGCGTCCCTTTTTTGCCTTATTAACATGCATTAAAAAGAAATCTCCTTGCTAATTATATTTTTCCCCCTTCATACAGTGTTCCTTTATAATTTTTTTAAAAATTAGATTTTATAATAATATTAGGCAGGTTTTATATTTTTAAATCCTGGCCAAGTTTTGCATAAATAATTTGGAAATTTTTTTAAAAATCTCTCATTCGATTTTTATTCTCAAGTATTAGTTGATAAAAAAAATTATCAATAACTTATGATCCTTAAATGTCTTATTAAATTATCCATGAGTCATGTCATGATATTATTTCTTATATTTTTTCCATTTATTTCTTTTTCCTAACAATAAGGCGACGAGATTGCAAATATTTATCAAGAATATTTTGTGCGTCGTTACTCATGATGTCGCTCCATACTTTGAATTTTGACCGACATCTAGTGTTGTTAAACGACTCTATTTGAAATAAGATTTTAGCCAAAACAATATTACGTAAGCCTCGAGATTCCGCTAATAGATGTCCAAACCTTTCTGCCATCTATAAGAAAAATTTTACGAATTATTTGTTGGTTAAAATTTTTATTTAGTCGTTTTTAAAAAATTGAGCCATTTGACAACACTACAGACACCCCAAAACAGCCTATATTAAGCTATGAATTAATTTTTATAAATAAATACAAAAATCTAAAAAATATTTTTTATTTAAATAATTAGCTTTTAAAGAAGAATCCAAAGGAACGTTTATCTTTGGGAGAAGTAATGCAACACTTTTGGATCCAAGCAAACATGACTAAAATAAATAAGGAACTCAAGAAATAACTTAATTATTCCAATTTTTTAAGGATAGAAAAAGAGTTCTCCATTTGAATTTGACCATAAAATCAATAAAATTATTTATTTGACTGTGATTTTATTTTATAAAAATTATTTTTTTTAAAAAATAATTCATAATTTTAGCATAAACTGGGATGCATAATTTATCTTATATTATCACATTTAATATTACCTTGTAATTTATTATATTTCTCTATTTTTGAATATTATAAATTAATTTTTAACACATTAGTAAACTATATGAACATGATTAGTATTGCCTTAGTATGTTAAAAGTTACATCCTTAAAACGCATTCATTATAACTAGCTACACTTTAGTAACGAGTTCTAGCTCATTTTGAATAAGTAACTTTTAACGAGTTCTAATTCATTTTAAAAAAATAACAAGTTACAGTTTTCAAAAGTAGTTATTCACAAGTTACTTTAATTATCAAAATAATTTTGGGATTTGAATCTTAATTAAAAGAATTATAATTTACAGAAAAATATAATATTATTTTTTGATTTATTTTTTTTATATATTCTATTTTTATTATAAATCATATATTTTCAGAGATAATTTATCATATTAATTAAATAATCTAATAGAAAAGTTTAGTATAAAGTCAAAAATGATTATAAGAAATAAGTTAAAATTTTCACAATTATCGGAAAAAATATATAATATTAGTAAATCACAAAAAGTCATTAATTTTTGCTGTCTTTTATTGATTCCCTTTTAGCGTTAACGTTATAATTGGGAGCAAAATAGCCTAAGTCTCCTATGCATAAGATGTTCAATTAGGGGGTTTCGATGATTGAGAATGTAAAGCTGAGATAGTTGCATTTTATTATGTTTAGTGCTAACCATTGCCGTTCCTGCGTTGGGATCATTTAGCAGAGATCCGTTTCCCCAGCTCTTTACAGAATGGCAGGGCATGAGAGCCGAACGATGTTACAGTCGTGGCGATTAGTGATAGGAATGTTTAGTTGGCAGGAGGCGATGGCTAATATTTAGCGAGTTCATTTGTCTCGGCGTGGGACAAGAGGGTCGATTCATAAGAAACTTCAGGTTAAGAATTTCCCCCTCTTTCAAAAAATCATGGTAGAACCATCAAGCCCCATAATATCGGAGTTGTGCAGACCAGTAGGTTCAAGGGTTGATGGGAGGCCGGCAGATTTTAAGGCCCCGACAATAGTATCATTGCATTTTGAATGCCTAATGAATTTTTTATTTATTTTCATATCAAAATAATATATTCTTTTTCTATTATTCAAATTCATATGTTAATATAATAATGAAAATAAAAAGGAACCCAGAGGGTCACCTTGTATTCCATCGTTAGATGGAATTAATTTATCTCAAATTGAAGATGCGAGGGACTAGCATAGCTATCGAAGATGAATTGTGAGTATTTTGGGTAGAAGGTGAGGATAGAATTTAGAAATGCTCTGCGCCTTATAGAGTTAAAGGCGTTTTAAAGTCTATTTTAACTAGGATATCGTCGCTGGGGTCTGTTTCTAAACATCCGGGTCATGTGACGAGATACCTCGCATCCACCTTTTACGTTGACTCCTATTTGGGCACAGGTGATTGGATATTGTAAACAATATTCTGCTTACTACTAGCTTAGCGGTTAATCAGCGCTAAGTGGTTCCAATAGTGATAGGGTAAATATCTTAATTAGATTGGAGAGCGATGAGTTTAGCTCCGTATAGGAGTGGAATAATGGAGGGTGGTATGCCTTCAGATACGTTTTATGAGTTGGGTAATTTTTTCCAAAACATCACATTGTTGTGTGATGTAAGGTGTGGTTAGATCCTGTTGGAATATTAGGCGAAACCCATCAAACTCGGGTGAGGAATTGCGTTTGAACGAGAGAATAGCCTTTCTACAAACGTCGCTTGTGGTATAAGTGGCCCCCATTAGAAAAGCTTCAGGATAAGACGGTATTACGTCCTTAAGATCGTGTGAGTGTTTTGAAAGAGCTTGATCATAGGGAGCGAACTTAATGTCAGAGGTTGCCAGACGTATGGCGGATTTAACATTCAGGTTATCTAATATTTTTTAAATATTTGCCTGGCCTTGGTGAGCATGTTATTTTTGAAATTTTTATCTGTGTCATCCTAAAAGATGTGGAAATATGATTGATGGGTGAGACAGGGATTTTTTGCTGGCAAGGAACTTGTAGGGTAGTAAAAGCAAATACAGCGTGTCAAGCCAGTGTTTTCAGAAGAATAATTATTTATCAAGTTTTTTGAAAGGTGTCCCTCAACTTGAAGCCTTGTTCCCTTAGATATTCGTAAAATTACAAAAGATTTGTGTCACTAAAAATATTTTTACATATGTGGAGTCGGCTGGATCAAACATTGAAACATTTGTGATAGTGGAGGTAGGGACAATTAAGCTAGTAAGCACGTCAGCCAATGATGTGGGAATGGTGACTATGGGTTGTTTAGTTGTGAAGAAAAGGCATTAAGGGTTAGAGGAATAGCTGCTGGTAGGCCAGATTGACGGCATTTTATTTTCTGGTTTCGATGAGATGGCACTAGTCCTGATTTGGTTACTTTAATAAGTTTATTATACAATGGGAAGTTATATTTGATAGGTGCAGTGCTGAGATCTAGTAGGCTCATGAATTGGAAATTTTCACCAGATTGAGGGTGAAGGTGAATTTCATTATTGTTAAAATTCACAATTGTGTTTATGGCTAAATGTATGTATTTGGCTTTCGGCCGGGATTGTGAATTAGTTTAGTTGACCCCCTATTATTTCTTATAATTTCTTTATATAAATATTAACAAAGTCGGTAACGTTTTATAATTTCAGAATAGGTAAGATTTTTCAAATTAACTTCTTTGTAGTGGAGTTAATTTATTTGTATTATATACAAAAGAAAATAATTTGAATATCCTCAAACAAGACTTCAATGTCTATCGGTATTTTTAATATATATATTAAATTACAAAAACCATCAATTGATGGTTTATGTTCCAAGGTAATATAGGGTAAATTATTAAAAAAAAAAAACAATTAAAATAAAATAACAATATATTTTTTTATTTTTGCACAACTCTCAAAAAATAAATGACAATCAAATATATAATATATAACAAAACAGATTTAAAAAATACATTAAAAATTGGATATTTTAATTTTCGTTTTTTCTTTATATATATATTCTCCTTTTTCTAAATTCCTTTAAAATATATTTCAATATAAATTAAATTTTTATAAATTTACCTTAATTCATTGGTTGTCCTCGATAACCAATCTCCAAAAATTGATGCATTTTTATAATAATTTGAAAAATCAAAAGGAATAGTAAATTCATTAAGAATTGATGTTACATTATTAATTATTTCGTTTCGAGTATTTGGTCGGGGATTGATCGACCTATATTTGTTTTTTAACACTCCAAAAAAATTTTCTATCGGGTTTAGTTGCGGCGAATAAGGTGGCAAATATTCTATTCGCGCTCTAAAACAATCAATGAGGTGGCTTTTATGGATGGATGCATTGTCCATAACAATAACTGCATCACTCGGTTAGAATCACCACATACAGAGGAAGAATTCATCATATGGAAATTTTTTGTAATATTAGGTATTGAATTTGAATTAGATAAAACAGGATTAGGATTTAATGTAAATGAATTTGTATTACTAGATAAAATTTGTCGTATATTAAACATTTGAAAAAAATATTAAACTCTATTTTATAAAAAAAATTAAGTTATATAAAAATTGTAAATACAAAAAAATTACCGTATGTATTTTATAAAAAAAATTAAATTATATAAAAATTGTAAATGCAAAAAAATTACCGTACTTATTTTTTAAATCTGTTTTGTTATATATTATATATTTGATTGTCATTTATTTTTTGAGGGTTGTGCAAAAATAAAAAAACATATTGTTATTTTATTTTAATTGTTTGTTTTTTTTAAAATAATTTACCCTATAATATCTATACATTTTTAAATCGAGTTATTGAAATCAAATTTTGATTGCAAATATTCTAAAATTGTCTTAATAAAAATATTTGCGTCATTTAAAAATGCTTAATTAGTGTAATATTTGAACATTTTAATATATTTTCAGCAATAGCCCCATAAAATTATTGTCAATTTTTAACTGTAAAGATGAACACACAGCATAATTTGTGAATTTTTATTAAAAAAGATTCTTATTGCAACTGCATATTAACATGTAGTAGATTTTTTACAAGCGATCATTCCTAAATATGTCTCTGACATTTCATTCTCGAAAAATTTTTAAAAATATAAGGATAGCTTTTATAATTTTTTTTAAGAAATATTTTTTAAAATTCTATCCATGGCGAGTATTAGTGATAGTGTTGTTAATTAGTTGATTTCTTCCGACTAGGACTAATAGTCGTAGTCGAGGAAATCGACTAAAATTTTAGCGACTAAATTAGTCGACTAAAACGACTAATTAGTCGACTAAAAACGACTAACTAAAACGACTAATTTAGTCAACTAAAAGCGACTAATTTAGTCGAATAAAAACGACTTATTTAGTCGACTAAAACGACTAATTTAGTCGACTAATCAGAGAAGATAAACAAAAAGAAGTAAAGTGAGAATTTGTCATTAAAATAACTATATGAGTTATATATAAGTTATTTTTAATATTTTTTGAATTTATTTTTCTTTGAAGGAACAGGTTAAAATTATAAATTGTTATTTTTGAACTTTTTTAAATTATTTTAAAGCAAGGTATAAATATATATTGCAAACATGTTGAATCAAAATTTCAGTGAAGATGTACCATAGAAAAGTGACAATTGTCATAATCGTCATTTTTAAGTTTTTTTGAAATTTTTGAAGCATATGCGTAAAAATATATATTGTAAACATGTTATATTTAAATTTCAGTGAAGATGTACCATAGAAAAGTGACAATTGTCATAATCGTCATTTTTAAGTTTTTCTGAAATTTTTTGAAGTAAATGGGTAAAAATATATATTTAACATGTTTT